GTATATATATATGTATAAACATATACAAATACTTTATTCTTTTTCTTTGCTTTCTTTTCTGATTATGAAATATAAACATTATGAGTAAATTTAAGTAATAACAGTAAATTGAAAACATTTTACTTGTCTAACTTCCATTTGTCCCTTTATCCTCTGATTTTTTAATTTTTATATTTGCAAAAAATATGAAACATATATGCATAATAAACATAATATTTCATAAATGATATACATCATTCTAATATTAACCAAATAATATTCCTAATTAATATAATTATTAATAAATAATATTCCATTATGTCCTCATGATATTCCCAATTTTCTAAAAAATTCGGCCTTTGTACATTAGTGTGCGGATACGAATACATTCTCATGTCTGCGTATGCATACTAAATTAATAACTAAATGAATGGACGCAAAATATATACAATAATAAAAAGTCATCCAGGATTAACTTATCCTAATCTGTTTCTAACTTATCCATTTTGAGGCAACGATCGTATGGAATGCTTTATAGTTTTTATACTTATAAGCAACATCTTTATATTGTTATCATATTGCACACATGCATCCAGATATATTATTGTACATATTATTATATATAATGGTATTATATATATATATATATATATATATATATATATATATATATATATATCCTATATATGTTTGATAAATTGCCATTCGTTACCTCAATAAAAAAAGGGAATTCATCACTTACCAACCCCGATGCGCAACAGCGGAATTATATCTGCCACGTAGCTACGTTGATTCTGTAATAAACAAAAATATTGAGAAAGCTATAAGATAAGACACACTTTTCTAAAAAAAAAATTTCAATAAAATCTATACCGGTCAACCGATTTTAATAAAATTTAAGGAGAACATACTTTCTATGATACTCTATTTGTGTGAAAAATTTCAACCCGGTATCTAAAAAATTGTAGAAATAGATGCGTGTACAAAAAATCCGTACATACACACACACACACATACATACATACTTCCGGACATTTTTTACTAATACGATTTTTCGACATTTTAGAACATTCTAAACCTATTTCCATCAAAATCTCGAAAAATTTTTTTTCATTATTACAAAGCTTCCTCTATGAGGAAGCAATATAAAATTTATATTAAAACAGTGTTCAAAGAACCTAATGTTTTAAAAGATAATTTTTATGAGTATTAAACATTTTATTTATTATTTAATTAGATATTTATTTAAATAATTACATATTTTCCGAAAAAGATCTTTACGAGGATCAATTTTAATAAAATATTAAATTACTCTTTTTCTTCTAACTATTATTTCTAAATCATGGTGAAATAAAACGACTCGAGAATAAACAGGAAAAAATTACTCTTAAAATAAAATACAATATTTTACAAATAAAAAATAATATTTACCGCAAAGTTGTTCCACTGGTGCCCGATGCCTCTCCCAGGCCTCCTCCTCCTTTATTTTAATTGTCATATTCGAAAATGTAACGATTTCGAGCGGCACTCCCGAAAATGCGACGGAACGAACTGTTTATACAATCGGCGGCGATTGTGTTTAGTTGCTTCGTTCTTCGATAAAAGCGAAATAGCCTGTAAAAGATAAGATTACGCGTACACGGAAAAAAAAATGTTGAATCAACAAAATCAGCGTAGTTGAAATTGATTTTATTGATTCAATAACATTGATGATTCAATATTGATATTTCATGATTTTGATTTATTAATTAAAATCTTTCTCTTAATAACATAGAACAGTTGAAAAATGTTATTGTCTCAATTTTATATTTACTTATCTTAAACAAATAAATATTTACTTTGAGTAAATATAAAGTTAATCAATTTGTGTTATGTAATTGAATAAATACTATTAATTTAATTATATTTTTGGTTGTACGAAAAACAAAAATATGTTGAAGCAACAATATAAATCTAATTAGAATTCATTTTATTAATTCAATAATATTATTAATCAAATTAATATATATACCATGCTTTTATTTCATCAATTGAGATCTTTCTTTCAATAGCGAGAATTTTTGAAAAATTCATTATATCAGTGTTATGTCAATTATATATTTGCTTTCTTCTACTACATAAGTACTTATTTTGATTAAATAAGTACTTACTTTAATTAAATATAAAGTTATTAAATTTTTATTATGGAATTGAATAAATTCAGCCTATTCAACTAAATTTTCTGTCGATTCAATCACATAAAATAATTAATAATATTTAACATTGTACATCAATTTTGATATTATTAATACAAGTACATCATTTTGTTAATTTGATTAAATATGACGTCAATTGAGATTTTTCCTTCAATAGCGTAGAATATTTAAAGGGAATTTATTGTATCAATTGTGTCAACTGTATGTCTACTTCCTTCTAATAAATAAACACTTATACTTTGACTAAATATCTCCCAATCAAATAATATATTATTTTTATAATAATATATTATTTGGTTACTATAAATGTGATAAGCGTTTTCACCACTAGGCGGCTGCTAAATTCGTAAGTCAAATTCGACCAGAGATCGTATATAAGACCTCACAGCGAAAGCGTCTATCACTCGCAGTGTACACATCATTGGAGTCAACCAACTACCACATATCACATATAAATAAATAAATAAATAATAAATAAATGTTTAAGACATTTTTTTGGATTAACTCCAAATGGAATTCATATGAGTAATGCATATTATTGTTTCATTTAAAAATCTTGTCGGATCAACTTTATATGAAATTTGTACGAGTAATGCATTACATTGTTTTATTTAAATTTTTTGTTCGATTAAGTCTAAATGAAATTCATGTGAGTAATACACATTATTGTTTTATTTTTAAATCTTGTTTGATCAATTTTGTATGGAATTCGTATGAATAATACATATAATGTTTCAATTAAAATTCTTGTTGGATCAACTTCTTATGTAATTTATGTACACACTGTATAATACTGTTTTATTTTAAATTCATGTTGAATCAACTTCGTATGGTATTTACATTATCATTATGTTTCATTAATTCAAAAATCATGTATTTTTCTTTTAACAAAATGTGTTGTATTAAAATTTAACCACAAATTATGTTAAATTAACTAAATGATGTTTGTGGCAGCCCGTGACGTCGACATTTAATTGAAACAAGTAATTTTTTTTTATTCAACAATATTTTTTTTCCGTGTATGTTTAAGTCGGTACTCTACTGTGAGTTTAGATATATAGGGATACAAGTACGCGAGAATAATGCTATAGTTGAAAGGGTTATAGAAAGCGGATAAAGTACGCGTCGCGTGTGATTAACTTCGAGAGTATCGTACAAGGTGTGGTAAAGCCGCGCAGTCATTATATTCTAGTGATTACAAGTAATCACGTTTAATTGTAATCAATATTTTGTTTGTTTTAGAAAGCAAATATGAAAAAATAGCAATGCGGAAACAAAAGAAGAACCGAAGCCGAGGAAGCGGCCAGATGTAACAGATCGCGAAGTGAGCATTTCATATATAATCTATTTTATTATATTAATTGTTAGTGATGGAAATAATTATTCATTTGCGCAGCATATCGCTTTCAGATCACAATGTAATAATGTATTGAATGTTTAATAAATATATACAATGTCTAATAAATAAAATATTTTAGATTATATTTTAAAGTTTTTATAAATATTTAATAAATTATTTATGATATAATTAATAATAACAAATATATGTATATATAAAATATTCCTAAATATTAATTAAAATTTATATAATCGCTGATATAATCTTGATATCATAATTAAATTATATCAGAATTATATCAGATTTTTTTTTCTTATCAAATTTTATGCAAGTTGATATCTAAATAAAGAAGCATTTTTATTAAAATGTTATTCTTGTATTAAAAATTTGTTGAAATTATGAATAAAATGATACTTGCAAAAGTTATTCTTCTATTTTTATTTTAAGCATGTGTTTCTTTTAAATCTGTTCCCCCAAATATTCGCCCAAAATTAAGTATTTCATGAATTAATGCAAGCAAGCTATATGTATGTCTATAAATATTTTTTTGAATATGTGTTATAAAATAGAAGCATTATCTTTTTTATAAAAACAAGAAATCCATATTTATTTTAGTCATTATTTTTATTTAAATATTTTCGTATGTTACAGATTAATGTTGTATATAACTCCTCTGTTGTGTGTGATGTGAGTAAAAAAAGGGTTCAGATGGAAAAACCCTCAAGGAGGCTGAGGAAGCTTAGGAAAAATATCGGGCCCCATTGGAGCAACTTCGTGGTGAGCATTATTGCTTACTTGCATAAAATTAGTCGTTTTATTTTGATGATGTAAAAATAATAAAGAAAAAAATTAATCTGAAATTTTATAAAAATTTATCTTATGTTAATCCTTTTTTAAAAATGTATAATTATTTTAATAGGTATTTAATGAAAACCCATTAAGAAATTCTATATAAGAATTACACACATGTTCGAAAAGTATTTATAAATACAAAAGAAACACATGCTTAAACTTATTTAATATCCTTTTCTCTGTAAGAGAATAATTTTTATTTTTATTTTACATATATAAATATCTTGTACTAATTCTTTTTGTAAAAAAGAAATCTGTAGAAACGCTTCATATTTTTAAAATGTCACTATTTTATTTTCAATGCAACTTTCTTTCTTATTCTTTATTTCAGCAATTTTAATCAAATTGTAATCAATGGACAAACTAGGTTTATAACAAATAAAATAAAATAATATAATGTGAGATCTTATAAATTATTCGTCGCGGAACAGAGGAATTTTTTTAAATATAATTATTATTATTTGTATTAAAATTTTACTGTTAATAAAGATATTTGATTTTAAATTAATATATGTATATATATATATATACATATATATATATTTTTTTTTTAATATGTTGTTGCAAATAACTTAATAATACCATGAACAATGTAATAAGGAAATACATGCTCGACATATAAAAGCACAGGTATATTGTGCGATAAAATGAAAATGTTATCACGATATTTATGTGTCTAAGATAGCGGTAAAAAGTTTTTCGCGCGATTAACTTCGCGTGCCAAGAGAGACGCGGCATCGCTAATTGATCCGCGCGATAAATCATTGGCCGCGGAACAATAAGGCTTTCAAAATACGCATTCGAACGAATTTTCAATATCCGAATCTATACGATCTTCGCGATAAATCTAGTTTACACCGATTGTTTGGTACGCGTACCAAGTACTATATTCGTATTAGATCCGTATCAAATCTCGGTATAACACCGATATAACCCGAGATTTAATAGAGATTTGATATACGGATGTAGTACTTGGTACGCGTACCAAACGGTCGGTGTAGATTAGGCCATAGATATTCCAACAGATGTTAAATGTAAAGTGAATGCGTAAATATATTGTACTTGCCAATTGAAGACATCGCGACCTCACTACGCGTTCCGCTCGCAATAACTTCACGATTATGCTTTTTGCGAGGAGGAAATATTACTTATATGCTCGCTTTTTTGTTGTCATTTTGTATTCTATTTTGTATTCTAGGCGTATTAACATTTTTGTCAGGTACCCGCAATATTCGCAACATTGGAAAATACGATCGTCACTTTCGCGTCGCTGCCCGTGCGACGCGCCTTCGACCGAACGCAACAAGTATCGCGAAATACGTATTTTTACAAACTATACCCGATATATACCCGAACGCTAAATGAATACTACACGATAGGTGCTGCAGTAAATAATGAATACGAAGTTAATAAACGCTTTACTGTTACCAATTGAACGAGTCGCGAAGCCGTTCATTCCGGCCGGAGCTGATCCGTCGATCCGACGATCCGTCTCGCGCGGCGTTCTGCATTGAAATGGAATGGAAGGAGGGAGGTGATCAATATGGCGCCTATGGCGGAGACGCTTCGTCTCCATAGAGATAATAGAGTGCGCGAGCGAGCTGAAAAAGCGATATAGGAATAGAAAGAGAAAAGCTGCGCAGAATAGAAAGAGAAAGCTGCGCATGGGCACCTTCTGTCTTTGTTTCGCATGCGCGCGTAGACAAAGACAGAAAGGGCCTATATGCAGCATTCTTTTTCTATTCCTATATCGCAGCCTCTTACGTGCTAGCATATTATAGCCACGGACACACACTTTTTCGTGTGAACGCGATTGGTCGAAACTTTACTGTTACTGTTACGAAAAAGTGTGTGTCCGGGCCTATCTCTATGTTCGTTTCCCGCGCGATCAATTTCACGTAAAGAGCGGCGCGGCGCGGCGCGACAATTTCGATCCGGTATCACGTGACACTACGTGAATTAAATAGATAGTTAATAAAAGCGTACAGTTGATTAATCGAAAATACACAATTAAATTTTAATATTGCACGTACAGTGTATACAGTAATTAAATTTATTAATATCGCAAAAATATATTATGTAAGATTACATTTTTAATAAATAATCAATATTTTCGGGTATATCATTCAATACAGCTGCGATTCGCTTATTTACACTTTATGTTCATAACTAATTAATATTAATTTTTTAAAATTACAAACTTTTAAACGAAAAATGAAGATATTCCGAAGTTTCTTATTCTTGCTTATGCTTTTATCGCCTGGGGTATTAGTTACCTAAATTATTTTGGAAACGCAGCAGAAACACTAGATAACACACCAGATAAAAATATTTACGAAACAGCCAAAATTTTTTTAATTAAGCATATTTGTATTTACTTTCGAATTTTTCTGATTAAAACAGGAAAACTGTAAATTGATGGTGCAGGTACTGCAGGTATATTAATTTGTTCTATTAATTCTGCTTGCAGTATTTACCGAGAGGGGGCGATAGTGCACAGCGACTGATTTCCGCACAAACTTGGTTGTTTACAGAGGGCAGCTCTTACTCAAAATAAAAGACGTTTGGTCAGTTTGGTGGCGTTTGGGTAGTACGATTTCGCGCCTCGCGCTTGCATTATTTTAAGGAGACAAGAGACAACAGAGATCCATCACGAGGTGCACCACGATAAAGCCGATTTCTGAAGTGACGTTTAAATTTCCAAAATGGGTAAGAATATATTTATATTGTACTCGCTTCAGAATAAAATCGACGTGTATCATTTCCCTTTTTTTATGAAGCTAGCTACGAAGCTCTAAATCTAAGATGAGAGACAGAAGGAAGTTAAAATATGTATATAGATATATGATAAGGTCTTCCTTCTATTTTTCAAATTGGAATAGAGTAGCATTAATTATCATAACCTGAAATTCTATACATTGAATGGAAATTGATGTGTTTATAGGTAGAAAAAGAGGATTTCAGAGAGAGAGTAGTGACGATCTCTTCTTTGACTCCCAAGATCTTCCTGGTCCGAGCAGAGCCGGCGTATCGTCACAACGACGTACTAGACTTTCGACCCTTACGGAATCACATATGAGCTCGCAGGATATAGCTAGCACATCGTCCCAACGACGTACTAGACCTTCGACCCTTATGGAATCACATATGAGCTCGCAGTATATAGCTAGCACATCGTCCCAACGACGTACTAGAACTTCGGCCCTTACGGAATCACATATGAGCTCGCAGGATATAGCTAGCACATCGTCCCAACGACGTACTAGACCTTCGACCCTTATGGAATCACATATGAGCTCACAGGATATACCTAGCACATCGTCTCAACGACGTACTAGAACTTCGGCCGTTACGGAATCACATATGAGCTCGCAGAAAATGGAGGCAGAAAAGGACACGCAACTAATCAGTAGCGTGATAAGATATCTATTTGCCGCAGATCGCAATAAACAGCCTATACAGAAAACGCATATCGTTAAAAATGTATTAGCTGGAAATAGCAAAATGTTCCGTTCGATTATAGACAAAGTGAACGATCAATTATCTGAGGTATACCTGTCTTTACAATCGTTATTTATGTAATTGCATGATTGTTCCATAAAGCAAACCGTTTTAAAAATAGAATTGTATTTATAAAGTTAAAATTTTTAAACAAGTTGTGGTATTTAATAGGTATTTGGATACAACCTAATAGAAGTTGAAAACAATAAATACATAATGGTGAACGAAATAGAAAACGATGTTCCACACCTCACCTTCCGCGATAGCCATAAGCAGGTGCTGTTGTATCTTGTACTTGTACATATTTTTATGTATGGCGAATCGTGCAAAGAAGGTGATTTTTACTCTTTTAAATTTTGCATATTATAACAATAACACGTAATATATATCTTGTATAATATTAATTTGTTACAAAATAAATTATATATTAAAATTTTTACAAGAAACTTACTGTAATAATGTTGAAAAATAAGTGAAATATTTTCACAGAAGTACTATGGGACTTCTTTCGACATCTGGGTATTATAAATAATGATAATTTTCAACATGAATATTTTGGCGACGTTAATCAGTTGGTGACTGTGGTAAGAAGCTAGCTATTAACAATCAACTAGAGTTTAGTTCAAAATCATAATTGATTTCTAAATGAGATTTATTTACGCACAGGAGTTTGTAAATCAGAGATATCTTGAGAGGACAATGATAGATAAGTACGATCCAACGAAATTCGAGTATTCATGGGGATCTCGTGCGAAAAATGAACTCACCTATCGTTCCGCCTTGACATTTGTCGGAGAGGTAAGCACAAAAATATATATACTACATTTACTGGTATAACAAAGATGATAATATAACAATTTATATATTTAATATTTATCTTTATTAATATATATGAGTTTTCTTAAAGGTTTAAATCTCATTATTTATTAAATTATTGTTTTTAATTTTATTCGTAATTTTCTAAAAGTCAATTGAATTTCAAACAAATTTAATATTTGATAGAATTTTTTTCTATTTTATTATAAATGAAGCACACTGGTTGTTGTATGTAAATGATTAATATGTGAATTTCAGATATACGGTTGTCCTATAAATAAATGGAAATTGCAATACAAAGCTGTAGATGAGGAAGACATAGAGTGAAAAGAAGAACAAGATGATTTACCTATATTTTCGCCGTGTTAAAAGAAGAAAGAAGAAAAGGACAACGTTACTCAAAGGGACAAAATTAAAATGCATAAATGTGTCGCGTGTGCGCACGTATGTTTTCTATTTTTCTATTTTTATAGTACAAAAACATAAAAACTTTTTTCGATACCAAAAAGATGTATTATAAGAGTATTTAAATAAAGTATAAGCAAAGTTAATTTAAGTAAAATTAGAATAAGAAAAGTTTAATTTCTCTATATATAAATTTATACTTCATTCCTTCGTTGATAAACATATGATGAAAGAGAAACACTATATTTCTAGACCGAACTATTTACGATTTCTCAGATATATTTACTGTCCCTGAAAGCAACCTTAAAGCTGCAGGGCTTAGAGTTCGTGTCGAGTCTTCGAGCAAAAGTATAGAATAACTCGTACACATGTAAAAATTACATGGTTTATTTAATTAAAAATACCTCTGATGAAACATGTGCACAGTACATAATTCGTACGGTAGATACCTAGCTAATCGCACATTTATCCAATTAATATTTTTTTTCTGCATGATTATTTTTTCGCACCGTTTGTTTCATATACATTACGAGAATCCGACGATAATTCTTGTCTGCCAAAATTGATGCATTGGATCAGCGCTTGGAGAAGCACTTCTAAGTCCATCTCATTTCCAGAAGCTTGTTCGCACGGAAATGCCTTTCATTTGCAATAACGTTCGTTAGCTTCGTCGATTTCGCTCAGACCTTCGACAAGAAAGCGAGAAGGAAGGAAGGAGGGGTTTTTCGGATACACTTTGCTGATCTTCCTCACGGACGGGAGTCCACAAGTTGCCAAACTTTCCGCGTCAGATATCCGGCCGTCCGTGCGTTTACCTTGCCGTCCTCGCGAGGGCGAGGCGCGGCAGGGTGGAGGGTGGTTGCGCGGAACGGAATCTGTGTCGCGCCGGGTCAGTCGTGGCCCCACCGTCGTCGCCGGGATCGCGCGCTCTCATCAGTGTCCACCCAGCCCCGTTGCTCGGCGGAGGCCGCCGAGCGTCGTCCCACCCGCACGCGTCTTCGTCTCAGGTCGCGCGTCGCGTCTCCGTCACGGCGGGACACCCGCATGTCGTTCCTCGGGATCCTCGCGCGCCGTACCACTGCCCACACGACCCCCGCGGGGGTCGATAACCCGCGAGGAGGCTCCTCCAACTTCTCCCCGAGAGTACGTTGCACCCGTTCCAAGAAAGTCAGTGGATCGTCACGTTTTCAATCTCCTCGGTACGAAAATCTATTTATTTATCGTAAATAATGAAATTCAATTTTATGTCGCTTTACAAGATTTCAGGCGAAAGAGACGAAATAAGGGTGGTTTTACGGAGAACGTGATCTGTGTGAAACGTTTGTTGGATAATCATTCGAAAGATTTAATGCGATATTCCCCAAGTCCTTTTAAGTCCTCGGTAACACTGTATTTTTTCTTCGATTCACAGAAATTTATATATTTAAAAAGAAGTTCACGTATCCAAAGACAGATTGAAGGATTTATATATCCACAGGACTTTCCTTAAAAATGTGGAACGTACGTGAACTATCGACTCCGCAGTGTATACCGCGCCTTCGTTGCCGAGCAACGGATAAAGATACTTATAACGCGTTCTGATACACTATGGAAATACATTTTTATTTTCTTGCGGACAATTATTACAAAATATCCTATATATTCATAATACACTTATATTTCCTTTAATATTAATTTAAATTTATATTGCCATACATTGTTATTTCAAAGCGTTCTGTATAGACAAACTGATTTTCATAAAGTCATATAGGAGAAAACTGAACATTTCCTTTTTTGTTTTTATCAATTTGGTATGTAAAGGTTCATATTTTCGTGTATTTTTTTAGCATTTCTGAGATCGCGCCGCGTGCGCCGAGATTTCAGCGACCAACGATTCTGCGGACCAACCGATCCTCTGTGATATTTTGCCGAATAATTTCACGAGAAAATTCAACATCCAACGGTGATTCGCCTTTACTAACGGTAAGGTGCGGATTAATTTGCATCGATTATCGATTATTCGAATAAATATGTTTCAACGATAGAAAATGCACAGAATGTCACAAAGAAACTTGCTTCAGCATTACAATAATTTAATCGACGTTAATAAAATCAATGATAACAGAAGATATCGAGGGAAGAATAGTATTAACAAAGTTAACGTTTTTAATATCAATACTGTTGCTTTTGTCAATATTATTTGTCACTCATATTGCACATTTAATAAAAAATATAAATTGAATTTCAGAAAGTCAGATGAGAAAACTTAATAAGTACGATCGCCCGATATACACTTTGCTTACTATTTTACTCGTGAATTGTGTCTTGAGCGATCAATATCCTTCTCGATCTACTTAGCTTAGTAGCTGCTAATTTGATATAAAGCAGTTCTTGACGATACCGTTATATTAGCGATATCTTCTTATAATATATATACAATTTTTACCTATATATATATATATATATATATGGCGGTAGATACAATACATGCAGAGAAGAAATATATCGCAAGGGACTTCCGCGAAGAATAATGCTAATTCGATCACGTAATACTATTGAGGACGCACACTACCTTTCTTTCTACCATTTTTCTCCCCGTGTCCAATAGATTTCAGACTTTTCAGAGTATGCGAGGCTTCAACGGGACTTGAAATAGAACACCCTGTGCACACTGACAAATGATCGGTGTTTCGAGAGGAAACGCGTTTATTCAGTTCATATCGATCTGGAATCTCGAGAGCGGTATTAATAGCTGGACGATTCCGCGCTTAATAATGCATTCGCCTGTATCTTTCGCGATATGGCTCGCAATAATTTGCTTCGATTGCGAAATTAGATTGAGAAAGGTCAGAGGAAAAATCCGTCAGTTTATAAAGCTTGTTAAAAGAAGCGGTTCTCATCGACAACGCTCAGCATAACGTCAATTAAAACCTTTCCTCCCGTTTATTTCCATTTTTCCTTTATCTAGCGCGGAAAGATACGAAATCAGAGTGGATAATATTTTTTTTCTCTCCGTCATTCAAAACGTGTTCTTTTTAAATAATAAAATAAATTGCCCGTGAGAGAAATTTAAGTGTCTTTGAATTTGGGATATAAAATGTCAAATGTCTTTGAATTTGGACTAAAATAAAAATATAAAAATAATTTAATACATGACAGTTATACATTCAAACTATCTCTTACTCTTTAAATTACATAGCTTTCTTTAAAAATATTTTGTACTTCTAAAAATTAAGTAATTCTCAATATTATACGCATCTAATTATTGACATTTTCACGAAAAAATTTATTACGACAAAATTGAAATAATATCACATATCGTGATAATAAAACATAATAATAAAACAATACAAGGAATATATTTAGTATCTATAAAATAATGTATAATGAAATTTTCAGTTTTATCTTTGCAATGAAAAAGTAATTTTTCTATCAGAGAGTTTATCAGTTTAAAAATCGCCATATCATAAATTTCCTCTGAAAGGAAATTGCTTGCATTTGAAGAAATTGGAAAACATTAATTATTAATTATTCATTAATTATTTTTAGTATAATCATTATTATATTAAGTGTTGTGTCTACTTGACTCTTATTTGGAAATCCAATAGCTGTTGTCATATTTATGCAACAGTATAATCAGCATCATGTAAGAAGATCATGAAGAATGTATACCTACACTGAACTGTTAATTTCATAGGGTTAAATTATACACAATTTGAGTTATTTTTAACTGTTCTTATAAGTCGCCACTGCTCCTACGCAACAGGTCATTAATTTAACTAAAACAATGTTAATTTAACTAGACCAATAGAGTTAAAATAACACTGTTTTGTTTCGACACACAGCAGTTAAAAATAACAAAATGTTATCTAACTCAAGGTATTGGTTTAAAAACTTCATCCTTTAACAGTGTAAAACAATCAGCTCTCGTAAAATATTTACACAGCAATTTTACTTAAAAAAAACATGAAAATAGCGAAGCTTGGCGATCCATTCGCCAAAGTGCTTTTGCGGGGATTAAAGTTTAAAAAGGTAGGATGGCAAAATGAATTTTTAGGCGCGCCGGGATCAAACAGCAACACTCGCCAAGGTAATCGCGGCGCAGCGATGTTCAACCTCTATCAGAGCCTAAACAAGAAGGACGACGGTGACGGGCAGCGGAACCGCGAGTCGGAGGTGACCGGTCACGACAGATTCTGTCAGCATCGTACCGGTCACTCGAGCACCCGTCGCCGCCGCCGCGCCGTCAATCGCAGGACGCAAAGTGCCACCGAGCTGAACCCCAGGGCGATGAGCACCGCGCGGGGCTCGTTGCGACGTGGTCGCAGCGTGAGCACGGAGGACGAGAATGAGAGCGAGGACGACAAGGGCCATCAGCTGGCGAACAAGCTGGACAATCTGGCGCGGCTGCTCTTCAGCCGCGTGTCAGCGGCACGGGGATACAAGGATCAGGGAGACGTCAAGTGAGTATTTCAGGGGTGAAAAGACCGTGCATCTTCGTCGGCCTTTATAGTCTCGCCGGTCTCGCGCCGGATTCGGGGTCGGTTAAAATTAACCGGCGGAGACAGGATCCATAATTTATGAACTATGGATTTTGTAGAACAACCAGGGAGAATTATGGAGTTGTATTTTATATGATTATAGAGCTTCAAAAAGTTTGAAGATTATGAAGTTACTGTGGAAATAGACATTACGGGGCGCTGTGAAATTAAGGCTGAAGATAAAATTACGGAATTGCACAACTGTACAATTATAGACTCGTAGAGGCAATATGATAGAGTTATAAAGTTGTAAAATTACAACTTACGAAAGTTACAAAACGTTACAAAATTAAAAGAATAGAATTACATCCTGGAAAGATGATTAATATATTCCGAAATTTAAATATTTCAGAAATGACTTTTTATAAGAAAATCGGTTGAAGTTATTTCCTTTCATATCTTCCAACCAACATTCGGTAGAGACATTCGTGAGGAAAGGAATTGTGTCAAGACCTAAAATATGAATCGCAACGTCTCGATCCCCAGCCATTCTCCTCCAGCAGGCGAGATATGATTCCTCCGATGAGCCGGTTTATCTCCTTGGGATATATATTATTCACACGTATAGCAATAGTGCTTATACGGTGCTGAACCAGCTATTACTTGTTGCTGCGACGAGAAATCAACAAGCACAGGGATAATTATTGTCAATATTGTCGCTTTACATTAATAATGATTTTCCCCGTTTGCGTTAACGGCATTCCGCCTAATAGCAGATCTAATATTGTCCGCTGACATCATTGTATATCCTATTAAACTAGCCGCTTCAATTATTTGTGTCATCCTTGGGCGTCTCTGTTTGTAAACCAAGAGCGAGTCCGTCGAAAATACCTCAGACATTCAGCTCTTATCGTCACTCAGCTCTTATCGTTGTATTTTTCGCTTTCGCGCGTTTGTCGTCACGGGCGTTGTACGATAATAAATCGTTTCTCATACGATAATCTTTTTTTTTCACGTCGTTTCGTGAAAATGCCCGGTCAGTAATGAGTTGTGCGCAACCGGACATTCATCGGGAGCCTTCGGCGAACGATCATCGAGTGGACGGAAATTTCCGTGTTCCAACGCGCAGGTAATAGCAAAGCCATGCAAATGCAAAGAGTGTTAAGGGATAAAAGATCCTCTTCATCATTCTTGAAATGTCGAAACGGCTTACATCGTTCTCCGATAATTAAGAACGAGATGGAGTCCCGGGACACTCGGTACATGTAACGCGATTGCGTTAATTCAATTACCATGTCCTTGCGTGGGAAAATGCAAGCCACATTAAGGCCGGCTGATAATATACATATAACCACTGTGGCGATTCTTCTTTCTTTCTGTTTTTTCTTTTAATTTTTTTATTATTGGATGAAACCCCTTGCAGCCTCAGAGCAACGTGGCGCTTTGATACGCGACCGCACCGTAATCCGTGGCTCGCAAATCTAATCCGCTTTTGTTGCTGCCAGAGGCGCGATAATGCACAAGAGTTGCCTAGGCGAACGCAAAGCCCCACGGGACCTTTCAACAGCAGGTAGAAAACGTTTTTTTTTTTTTTTTTTTATTTTTTTTTTTTTATTATTTTTTTTTTTTTTTTTTACATATAAATGATATATAAAATATGAAAAATAATATTAAGTTCTTAGACGATTAAGAACGACCCGTATAAATTATGTATACACGGATACGCGTTATTTTATTCCGCTGTATTTTTAAAGCTCTGGCAATCTGCATTTCTTTCGTTCGTTATTATTCCTTCAATATCCCTTTGTTAATCATGGAAACTTTTTGAAATACGTTACAATATATATGTACAGATACTTATCTGTTGCTTTATTTTGCTGTCTTCTTAGAAATCTGGTCATTTACATTATTTTTCATTTATTATTATTATAGCCTTTAGTGACTGCGGAAACTTTTTAAAACAGTGGGTACTTAATAATTAGATTCTGAATTCTGATGGCATGCAGATCCGAAATGTCCAAAATAATTCTAAATGTTTTTAAGATGATTAAATCGTTAATGAAAATAAGGCTACAAAGCCTGCATTTTGTCTTCTCGGAGATAAACCGGACGGAAAAAAAGAGAGAAAGGAGAAATAAAAAGGGCTTTAAATAAGGAGGCATGATAAAATAGAATTTTGCGTATTCCCAACAGGAACGGCCGTTACACAGCGCTGAATCATGGCTCGAAATCTGTCAGCGAGGATGGAGTCGAGTACATGGAGATGGAAAAGAAATCCCGCGATCGTGCTTTATCAATCTGCCAGGACTACATCGGGAAAACGTCACGTTTCGCTCTCATCAAACAGCTCAATAACATCGGTGAGCTCTCTTTTCGCTCTTGTGATTCCGTCGAAGCCGTCGAAGTGCCAAATAAACGATATACAAGGTGTTCTGAAATCGTAAGGCATTCCTCGATAAGACTGCAACGAAGCGAAGTAGAAATGAAAAAGTAGTAAAATGGGGACAAATTAAAAAATCTAAGAAGCTAGAAAATTAAAGGAGGAATTACCCCGATACCGATAAAAAATCGATAATCATACGATTTTATGTCCAGAGACTTAAATTTTCTTTTTCATGTTAACGTTTACTGGCTGTCTTCGAGAAACTTTGTATAAAAGAGAAAGCTGATGTGTGCAACTGTTAAAATATTGTTAAAACATGTACCTTTAGGATCGAGAGTAGACAAGTATTGGTTCATGGTGAGAGATACGTCGCTGAAGACGGACAGATTGCTGACTTTGGTGCCGTTGAATCAGAATTGTCCATTGACTGTCTGTCCCTCCACCAAGGACATCTTGAACAATCTGTTCCTGGCCTTACAACATCCCTACATCTGCCCTGTCTTTCACGTCGATTTTCTCGAGTATGAGGACCAAACGTACATCGTCCTGGTGCAACCCATCAATCAGGGCAGCCTTAAGGATCTAATACACGGCGTAAGTGCTTCGTGACGTAGAAATGGATTCAGCCCTTCAGAAGAGTAAAGAAGTACGAACTTTATCTTCGCACTTCTTGATCGATCTGAAACTAATTGTTTTACTCACTTTTCCCCTTAACCGAAATTTTATTAGATACCATTCTTTCCATCTTCTTGCCAATATCAAGCAAATTAAACTTTACTTAATCGATTAAATTCGAATAATGTAAGATCCATTTTAGATAATCGAAGGTCATTTATTTGCAATCGCTATATAATAACGCAAATAATTTTTCTCTGTATATTTGAGATTCCTGAGGACAGGATGTCTTAATAAAAATACTGTCCTGTGGCAGATTGAGCGAAACTGCTGGAATGAGGATTGGACTCACAAGTATGCGCGAGGCAAGGGACTCACACTACCGCAAGTGCAACGAATGGGACGCCAAATATTGGAAGCGTTGGTGTTCCTGAAGGAACGAGGATTCCCCACGGTGACTCATCTCCATTCGGGCAACGTGGTGATTCAGAATGGCGTTGCGAGACTAGCCGGTCTGGAGAACACTCTTCTAGGCTTCACCAGTCGCATACATCCCATTGTGACGTCCCGATTAACGCATGCCACCTCGATTGATATTATATGTTTCGGTAAAGAACAATATTCTTCGATGCTAAGCTTTTCAAAAGAATTTTAAATCAACTCTTTAATTATTAATATAATAAGCGTCGGCGAAATACTTTTTTAATACAATTTTTATGATCACTTTCTATATCTACCTTCTGGCAGGATATACGACTTTAATAATATTTTAAATTAGATCTTTGTATTTTGTAATATTTTAATATAGAATTTTGTATACACAATCTTTTCGGTGATATATTTTAATAAAATACCAGTTTTTCAATATAATTTTTTTTTTAACCGAGCTTAATGTTGCATTTTTTCAATAAAATTTTATTTTAATTTTCAAATTTAATTTTTAATAAATAATTTTTAATAAAACTAATTTTTACATTACCAGGACACATGCTATTCGAAATGTGCGCCGGCTACGAATTATGTACCTTCAGACCATCTGCCGTCCAGTTATCAGAGATCGAAATGTATCCGCAGGTAGAATCGATCGCAATAACAACTCGGTGTGGTCTATTCATACAATGAGAATATATGCGCTACGTATTTCAATTTCAGGTCGTGAGATTTCTGGAATTGATATTCACGGAGTCGGAAAATCATTTTACCAGCATAGAGGAGTTGCTGATCCATGATCTTTTCAGGAATATCGATCTCCGCGAGATGCGATGCACGGCCGTAACTGTGAGTACCTGGTTTCAATCTGAGTAATTTGAAGTTAAAGCCAACTCAATTCCAACAAAATTAACGCGACTATTTCAGGTATTTCGTCCGACCCTGACACCCTCCATAATGAGCCTGCTCGACGGAATTAAACGGCAAGACGCCGGAAAAGGGTGAGTTTTTGAGAACTTCAAGAAAATTATAATTTAATATATGAAAATCTACTTACATGTATTCGAATTCGATATATAAATAATTATTGGCGTTGGAAATAATTTGTTTCGCATGCGCAGCTGGCATAAGACACGCTCTATAAGCGATGTCCATTTAACGCGCAGATTTTGGTAATGAACGATCAATTAATTGCACTGATTAATAAATGTGAGTTCAATTGAAGGGGCAACACATATGAGCACTCTACTTCTTTTTCAGAATTGCGAATATTGGCAGCGAGGACGGTGTATCGCTGAACAGCTTCAACGGATCCTTACTCACGCAAATATACAACGAGCTTTCACAAACGGCTTTATAAAATGTGGGAACAAAGTCTCTCTATATACACATATACATATATATACGTATATTTTATTTCTAAAATAATGCACGTTCCTATTATATTTGCAAAGTGCCAAGAAAATAATTGACCCGACGCTAATTCTACCATTATATAATATAAAGCGCATGCCATAGGATTTGTACAATGACGATGTAAAGATGATTTTCTTGTTTTCTTGTTTGCTGCTACAGATAAAAAAAATTGTCAGCCGTTAAAAATAATTTTTCTGGGTATTGTAATAATTCTAGAGACGGATAACAATCTCTCGCTCACTATAGAACCTGAGAATTATTTTAGATTTTTAATTAGATATTATTTTAAAATAATGAGAATTATAGAGAAATCGCAAAAATAATAAAACTGGGAAAAGCGTAAATTGAATTAAACACCACTCGAGTTTACATCATTTCTTTATTCACGCTTAAAACGAAGTAGAAAAAGTACTTGGCATCCCCTAGTCTTATTTGAGCTCTCTTCCGCTGTGACAGAGAATAGTATTTTCGTACGAAGATGGCTCATAACTGGTGTAACTAGCAGTTATTATTACAGCTATTTAGCCAGCTAATTAATTTTATTCATTGTTAACATAGCCAATTTGTCACCGTAAAACAATAATACTCGCCATTTTTATTCTTTCGAAATATTTGAAATTATTCTTAATTTCTTTCAAAATTTCGGAAAAATAGAAACACGTTTAGTCAAATCCAATAAAATAGCATGCATTTATCTCCACGATGCATTCGCCGAACTTTTGAAAATATGAACTTTTGAAATAATAATCTCGTTTTTTTTTTTTCTATTTACATTTCTCCTACAATTTAATTGGATGAGTAATCAAAGGCAAGAATTATTGTTCGTTGGTGAGAGGGAATGTCTTCAAACTCATTACACCGAGATGTTCAACAACATGGCGCAACTAGGGCTGCGCTTATAATCCTCAGTCGGGGAGCATCGATAGCTCAAAACAATGTGGTGTATTATATTTCGCGTTATGAGCCGCCAGTTTCAATCTCGCTTCCGGGTGTCTCGGGTTCCTCGTCGTTATAAATATTCTCCGCCATTTGCCACACTTGCATTATATTATCCTCCGACACTGAACAGATGACCCACGGTTCGTTCGGGTTCCATGAAAAATCGCTGATCTTCGCGGTATGACCTCCATGTATAAACTGTAAAAATATTTTGAAGATTATTTAGAAAACTTTAATTCCAAATAATAATACATATATTTCTTAAAACTTAAAAATTTACAGAGAATCGAATAATATTATATATTGGAAGAAACAAAATAAATAAATAACTAGAAAGAACAGTTACGAAATTTTTTTCGAGATTTTTTTGATCATTTATTAATTTTGTTATTCGCGAAATAAGTTTTATTAGCGTAATTACCAGAAGTTCGGGCGGCCCATCTTCGGCATCCTCGCTGGACTGTTCCTCGCCAATCTTGCTAAGATCCCAAACATGTAGCCGTCTGTCTGTACCACTACTTGCCAATATCGTTTCGTTATGTGGCGACCATTGAACCTGGAAGATCTCATCCTTGTGTGATTCAAATGAATGCAACTTCAACTTGAGATTTCGCAGATCCCAAAGCGCTACAGTCTTATCCGCACTGCCAGTGGCTAATATAAATTCAGAATATGGGTTGAAACTCAGACAATTTACTTCAGCGGTGTGAGCATCAACAGTATGACTCGGTTTACTAGTATTGTTGCATCTGCAAATATAAAAAATTTAACGATATAATATACTTCAATGCGTTTCGCAATACGTTACATTAAACAATTGTAATCTTAGTGACATTAATATCAATTATATTGGCAAAATGCTAGTTTTATAAATTAACAGAGAATATTGCTCTCTCAATTTTTTATTACAAACTAAGTTTATGAATATTTTTGTCTTAAGCTTAAATCTGTACTCTCAAACGACTCTTAAAATAAATATAATCTACCTAGAAATTAATTAAAAATTTATTAATTGTATTATTGATAAAGACAACAATTACCTGGTGTCCCAGATCATAAGTTTTTGATCGTCAGCAACCGAACCAAATAATGATTCATGTAGCAGATGCCAAGCGACGTCTTCGACCACGGCTGTGTGCCCTGTAAATATAGTTTTCGCATCGATAACACGATTTTCCTTCGGTGTGGCATTAATATCCCACAAACAAATTGTGTGATCATCAGACGCGCTAAGTAAATATCCATTGAGATTCGGATTCCATGAAAGTCCGTAGCCTTCCTTTTGATGTCCTCGCAATCTGCAATAACATTTAGATAAATACAATAAATACAATAAAAATTATACTGATATAAGTATCTGCTCCGTCTATTTATATCTGTTTAACATATCATCGCCCAAGTACCTCAAATCCGGATGGCATTCCCCATTGGGATCCGGCTTACTGGGATGTTTAGTATAATCAAATACCAGTACATCACTGGAGGGGGTCTTTGTCGCGATCACGCATGGATTTTGCGGCATGAATCGCGCTCTATTGACTTCACCCTCGTGGTTAATCTTGATCTCGATCTCGATCTTTCCACTCACAGAACCGAACCCACCAAATTCACCCTTTTCATTGTCGTAATGAGAAGCATCAAATTGCGCGTCCTCATTTGGCAGCTGAACGCTAGCGATGAGCAAATGATTTTGTTCGTCGGAGGTGTGAGTGCCCAGAATTAACCTGTGGATTGAATAATCCTTTCCCTCCGGTCTAGTGACATCAGGCAGCCATTGAGCGGTTAAAGACGGCCACTCCAAAGCATGTGTCATCACAAGATCGTAGAGGAATGGTGTATTCTTCTTCCATATTTTGTACTCCTCATTGATAATACGTTCTTCTACGGCGTCGTCAAAGCCCTCTGAACAAACAGCGGCGCTTAAATTTTCATTCCTCTCGCATGACATTGCTACATCTTACAAAATACACGAATAAAAGAAATATGAGATAATATAAATTCAATTATTAGACGTGACATGTTATAAATTATTTAATATATATGTGTATATATATAAACAATCGATGAGACACGACGGACGAAAAAAAATATCAAATGGATTAGAAGGTCAAAATGTAATACCGGTAAAAATGACGAGTTTTTCAAAAGTTTTCAAACGTGAAAGGCACACGATTGATCTTTTCGACCGGTTGCACAGTTTTTAAGAAATAGGATTTTGCATATGATTAAACTTGTGTACCAATTAGGATAAAAGTCTATAACAATCACCTGTTGTATACATATATCTCGGTCGAACTCTTTTAATATCACCTGTTATAGTTGTTACATCAATATAATTTGATTCGTCCTCTTCGATTCTATTTGATTCAGCTTCTTTAGTCTTATTTGACTAAGCTATTTCGATCTTATTCAACTCAGCTCTTTCAATTGTATTCGATTCAACTTTTCTGATCTCAATTGATGCAGAAGGCTCAGTTCCCGCGACATTGCCCAGCTCGACTATTTCGATCCTATTCGACTTTAGCTCTTGCGACTGTGTTCGGTTCAACTTTTCTGATCTCAATTGATATAGGTTTCTTGTGTATGTAGAATCGTTCACAACAAAACGCCATTCCAAATTTAGGTCTTGATTCACATTTGGGTGATTATTCACATTAATATTCGCAAGAATATTTGCGTGTGCGCGAAATGAACGGCGCTGACGTGTTTCCACATTGAAGGATCGGGTGAGAACTAAGCGGCAGAGATGAAGGTGCCAGAACGTTACGAGAACAAATAAGTAATGTCAGATAAACAAACTTTAAGGTTGCTCATAAGAAATGTCTAATCACACACACACAAATATAAACAAGTATCGCTAAGTCTCGCTATACAATCGACTATAGACGTTCAAAATCATTGTTCCTAAAGACTGTGCAACCAAGCGAAGATCATGTATTCTACAAATCTATCTTTACAAGGAGAACCATGCTCTCTCGCCATTTGTACCGTAATTCATTACTATTGCACACCCTTTGGTGTGTATAAATTTTAATTATCACTAATCGTACATACTTCAAAATTAAAATAAGATGTACATTTATTATACAAATATTGAAGTTTCAATATTAATTTAATTACGAGTACTTCGCGGCAAAATCAAAGGAATAGTCGTCATTATCAATGAGATCCGTCTTCAATTTAACGTGTCAGCCGGAATTTTCTCAACACTCGTAGACGCATGCATTCAAACGACCGGTCCGGTCCGCGAGAAACGATCTCTACGTATTCATTGGGTCTGTTTTCTATTGCTGGAACTGGCTGCACTAGTTTATGTGAAGTAAAAAAAATAAACTCTGAACTAGTGCAGCCAGTTCAGCAATAGAAAACAGACCCATTGTTTAGGGATGCCGTTAATTATTATACATATATATACGTATATCTATATATACATATATATATATATATATATATATATATATATATACTATGGTGGCAAATTATAACCGCACATCGCGTCGCACATCATGCTCGACGGACCGGTTCCGGAGACGCGGGATTTATCGAAACACGAGCGGGCTATTTCTCGTCGTTCGAATTTTTTATTTTATTTTTCCCCTGCACGCTTCCGACCGCGCGACGGTGTAGAGGAAAGACCGTGCCGTGTATACCCGGTGGAGAGGCGGCATCGTGTCGGTTCGTCGGAGCGTCCTTCCGAGATCGCCGACCGAAACGTTTGTTTGTTTTCGTGAAAAAGTGAGGCGAGCACGGTCGAAACTGTCGTCGAAAATACATGTATCCTTACCGCCGTCCTTGTCTGCCATCATTTATGCTTCGTAAATTCGTTAATTCGAGAGATAACTGAGGAGCAGAGCACTGTCCGCCGATCCGGCCCGCCAAAATTGAGGAAACAGCAGAGTGCCGACCGTGCCGACACCAACGGGACGCTCAACTCAAGTCCGATCGCAGCGACGGCAAGCCCCGTTCGCAATGCAGCGACATGGGAAAAAATGGCGGCACGATCGATTTCTATTCTCGCGATTAAAGGCACGTGATTCACGCTGGCGCTCCGACATTCGTTTTTCGGCGTGTTCAATATCCATTAATCAATTTAATTTACTTTTTTATCTTTTTCTAATTTTATAATGTCCATTTCTATCAATGCAGATTTACTTTGATCTCGATTTAATTTACTTTTTATCTTTGTCTAGTTCTAAATCGCTCCGAGATCTCGAACGGAAAAAGAATTGACCAATCACATTTAAACAATTCAGCCAATTGACCAATGCGGTTGGTTAATAGCTCTTCCTCGTGAAATCTCGAAATAATTTCTAGCATCGTGGACACAAAGGCTTAAGAATTAAACAATGATAAAAAGCAAGTTAAACCGAAATTAAAGTTATAATCTGCATTGATAGAAATGGACATAAATAGGTCACGCGATCAAAATTGATGTTAAATAGCGAGAAACATATAAAAATATATATATAACGTTGAATTTTATTCATCAAAACTACAGCATCGAATATCGTTTATACTTACATTGTTAATCATATCATTTGTAAATAAATATTACGCGGGATTAAATGAGTATATTAAAAAATTAGAATTCTAAAAAGTATTGCCAAAACGTTTCTTACATTGCTTGGTTCTGATAATTGTTAAATACATTTAAGTTAACGTAAAAAAAAACGCTTTAGGGTATTATTTCATTTATCGTATGTACAAGATTTTCAAGCGTGTGATTGGCTACAAAATAGAAAAGTTCTTGAGTCTTTAGAAATTTTTTATTTTGTAGCCAATTACTTACTATGCTTGAAAAATTTGTATGACAAATAAAATAGTACCCTTAAAAGACTCACTTACGGACTGCAGATGCAGCGGGAATGGACAATAGATTTGTTCGTTGTAGATACACCGCATTATATCTTCTGCACTTAAAATGAAATAGGTATTTAAATTAGACGTTGGAGAGAAAAGGAAAAATAATAAAAAAAATTAGCTGCAAAGAACATTTAAAACCAAAAGAAAAAATTGACACTACATATATATTCTTATTTAAATATACATATACATTGTAAAAAGATTATAACTTATTATTTAAAAACGACTATTTGTAATTACAGATAAAAAAATTTATCTGTAATTTTCTCTTTTTTTAAAAGACACATGTACATATATCCAAAAGCATGGCGCAGTGTAATACTTTAGAAAATATTGATGTTAATCTTTAAGGGGGGAGACTCGTCTCTTTGACCCCTTTTTTTGATAATTTTTTATAAAAAACTGAGAGTATTTATTGAATCCTAATAAAATACATGATAATGTTGACGATCAAATGTACAAGAAAAAAATTTTTTATAGTAGAAAAAATACTCGCTGCAGCTGCTCGAAGTTGTCGTCTAGATTTTGCGCGGGAGAATGCCCAGGTCCTTGTAATGAACTGAAATCAACGAACCAAAATTTTTTCGTTAAATTATGATCCTCCGATGCGCATGAACCTAAATATACATTAAAATTTTTATAATAAATATTATTTTTGGTTATTTGTTTATAAAAAAATCGTGAAATTTTTTTAAAACGTTCTCTATTTTTGAATTTATTTTTTTTTGCTAAATTTAGGTTCATGCGCATCGGAGGATCATAATTTAACGAAATAATTTTGGTTCGTTGATTTCAGTTCATTACAAGGCCCTGGGCATTCTCCCGCGCAAAATCTAGACGACAACTTCGAGCAGCTGCAGCGAGTATTTTTTCTACTATAAAAAAATTTTTTCTTGTACATTTGATCGTCAACATTATCATGTATTTTATTAGAATTCAATAAATACTCTCAGTTCTTTATAAAAAATTATCAAAAAAAGGGGTCAAAGAGACGAGTCTTCCCCCATAATTATTAATATACTGCAAAAAGATAGAAGAAAATGTTTCTTTAGAGATTCTTGTTTTATCACTCTTCATTTATTTCCTGCTTATTTAAAAATGCAACAACACGTTCTGCTAATTCCCTATAAGTTTCTGCTTGTCTACTCTTTGGTGCCACCAGGACAATCGGTTTACCACTGTCCGAACTCTCCGCGATGCTTTCGTGCATCGGTACCTTCTGTAAAATATCCACATCTGTAACAAGCCACGAAAAAGACATTAATATATCATTCATAATATATGAACATTTGTATATTGTTATAATTTAATACCTTCGGTTCAGTTACATCTTATTAATAATTATGAAATAATGTAATTGATAATAGTTTATTACCTAGTTCTTTAGCTAACGAGAGCGTGGCGTTGCCGAAGAGAGGCACCTCCGTCATGCATTTTGGACACGTAACGCTGCTCATATTCTCCACGATACCAGCAACAGGAATGTTCAACTTCTTGAACATATTCGCACCTCTCCTGGTCACCTCTAGCGCGACTTTTTGTGGCGTCGTCACCAGCAACGCGCCGGCAATAAAAAGTGTCTGGATCAGAGAGAGATGCGTGTCCCCTGTTCCAGGAGGAGTGTCAATCACGAGATAATCGAGCGGTCCCCATGCCACCTGATTCACTAGCTTGTCCAACGCACTCATCACCATGAGTCCCCTCCAAACTACCGGTGATTTCTCGTCAATTAAAAATCCCATGGACATACTGCGCGTGAAATACAAAATTATAGAGTACAACCCCATCGATCCGTTCATTTGAAAGGGCCTGACAATTAATCACCATTTTACACCATAATTTACAAGAGGTTCCATAAGATTGTCTTGATTTAGTACAGGTGATTCGTGTATGTTCATCATCAGAGGTACAGAGGGTCCGAAAACGTCAGCGTCCAACAATCCGATGGACTTCTTTGGCTCGATAATTTTTAGGGCAGTTGCCAAATTCACAGCGGTGGTCGATTTTCCAACGCCACCCTTACCAGAGGCAATCAGAAAGATTTGACTGACGCCCTTTATACGTTTTCGTTTTGGGAGGCCACGTGCCATGACTTCTCTCTGTCTAGCTTCCAGATTTTCTTGCTTAGTCCTGGTCGAGTCCACTGTTGTGCTATGCTGAAATAAGCAAAGAAACAGAAATAACAGGTTAATAAAATCATTAATAATAAAATTTTATATTAAATTATGATTTAAGAATCATTTTTATCAGAGGTTTAACGCGAATTTATTAAACCTCTCTACAAATTGTTATGCTGTATTGTTAAGAAAAGAGTTCAAACGAAAGCTAAACACTTCTGAGAAAAAGTTAAGTGTGAGACTTGAAACTTCAAGAACGCTTTGTAGATAGAATTGTGGAAGAATAATTACTTACTTGCCGTTGCCACAGATACCGAAGGGATTTCAAATACCCGCTGAAACGCGGCCTCGCGATAACGCTCATTTTGCTCGACACATGTACCTAACCTCACGGCATTCAAAACAATATAATATATCGTATCGTAAATATAAATTATATATGTTCAAGAAGGTACCGGTATGCAGAGACGCATTAGTAAAAAGTATTTTATCGAAAGTACGTTATCTTTCCATCTTTCTGCTGTGACATGAATCGCTAATTTGGTGAATTAACTCTCGCCAACGTTGGAGTTGGAGGCGTAGAAAGCGATGAGCTACGCGATCGGCGAAACCGGCGAAACGTTGACCGTCATTCCGACATCACTTTTTCAACTCTCTGCCGCCAAATTAAATCTCCACCTCGCCTCCGCCAGTTACACCTGCGCTTATACCAGCTAAAAAAGTCATGCACACATACATGCGCGCATCGCCGTCTCTTGGATCGTCAACCTAACCTAACCTACATTGATGCTTCTCCGTTTGTTATTTCCACGAATATTTTGTGGCGAACAACGAAAGCTTTCGCGTGAAGCATCGCTTTTCGTCACGATCTTTTTCACTCTTTCACTTTCGCGAAGGAAAACATTCGGCGAAAATAAATTCTTTTCATTTAAATCGTTAGGTCAGGTTAGGGTTACGTCGCGCACTTCGCGACGAGCTGCGCTTATTTGTGCTTTCGGTGCGCGCTGGGGAAAGAAAAAAATGGCGGCCACTTAGTCAACTTTCTGCCGAGCGCGAGAGCAATTGCGTCGCGATTTCCTCCGATCGCATCGTTGTACAGGCGATTTTTTCCCCATCCAGCTCGATGATGACGAAACGTACGTTTGTCCGCGATTTCTTTCCATACCCCGTCCAAGCGTAATTAGCCGACAGGCGGTCGCGGTCGAGAATCGGAGCGATCTCCGATGAGAGGTTAAGATAGGGATTGATCGTCAAGTTTTTGCGAAATTAAAGCCCCCGCGAAGCTAAATTCCTCCTGCCCCCCACGATTAGGATGACTCTTAACAGCGTGACGAATTGTGCAGGTGAAGGACGTTACATTTGACCGCCAGGGAGGACGGAATATGGGCCTAAAGGCAGCCGTTCAGGCTCTGAAGTAAGATTTCGATTAATTATGAATGTGTCGTCAATCGCGGGTTGATTTATAAATACATAAATCCGTCTCTCGGCTTTGCCGTCCCGTTAACATGCATGAAATGAATTTTGACAGGAAAGCGGAACCGTTAAAGGACAAGGTCCAACGCTGCAAGGACCTGCTTAACGACAACGATGCCTGGGTGTGTCAGCAACAGCTGCAAAAGATATATCAGCAGGTCCTCATACTGGATCTGGAGTACGCCCTGGACAAGAAGGTCGAGCAGGAGCTGTGGAGTCTTGGATTTAAGAATTATATAGTGACTCTGCAGTCGCAGGCCAAGGACAGGAAGAATCCCAAGCGAGGCGAGTCACAGGCATTGCTCAGTTGGTGCCTAGAAGCGGCCAGTGGTTTCTACCTGACCTTGCTGCAAGAAATCTGCACTGTATTTGATTTAGACCTACCGTTTAGAAGGTACGTGTCTTTTGCACAGGCTTGTTTGTTTCATTTACTTACTCTGGAGGGCCACACTTGTGCTTTTTTTAACTTATTTATTGAAATATGGAGGTCTGGATTATTCTTTACCATATCCTCTACTCAGAATCATCAATTTATCTTGTATAAACGAGGAATAGATAGAATTCTACCTGGGACTTATCAATTACGAATTATAAATTAATTGCTCTCACATGAAATCATGCATCACTCCTTAAACTTTGATTATTATAGTTGTTATTGTTTGAAAATTTTTATCTTTTAAGAGAAACGACACAATACTGCTTTTTATTTATGCTCTGTTATCTCGAGATTAAATTCATATTTTGCAGACTCTTTGTTTTTATTGGAATAGAATATTTTCCCAAGGTTCATAATATTATATGTGAGATGTCAACTAGCCATCCTTTTGCACAAGTATTTTGAATAAATTTTAATAAATTTAGATCTATTGTATGTATCAAAAGTATATACTATCAGGAGGATGTGATCAATTTTTGCAGGAAAGGTTATGTGTACGGATGTACGTCACCATGGAAGGCCGTTGAGAAATTATCTCCACCTCACAAATCTTCTTGTTTTTATGCCTGCCAATATTGCCTTGTACATTTGGGCGATATCGCACGGTACCGAAATGAGAGCAAACAAGCTGAGATGTTCTACAGACACGCTGTCTCGCTATCACCATCCAGCGGGCAGCCGTATAATCAATTGGCGCTTCTAGAAGCTTCCCGTGGTGATAAATTGGGCACTGTGTTTCACTACGCACGTTCGGTAGCCGTGAAACATCCTTTCCCAGTCGCTACAGCAAATCTCGCCACGACTCTGTCCTCCGCTTTGAACGACAAATCTTTCAATATCGACGGCAAGACCAAATTGAATTCTCAGGAATACATCGCTGTTTTTCTGAAGCTGCACGGAATAATCCACGTTCTTGGCGATTTGAAGCTGGCCTGCTCGTACAGCAAACAATTGACGGAAACGCTCACCGCGTTGGTAGCTACTGAAAGTTTCAGTTCGTGGATGCTCGTACAGATGTTGGTGATTAATCTATACGCTCTGCAACACACAGCCGGGATTGGCACCGACAGTACGGAATTGCTCAAGAACAAGCAAATGGTCAACGATAAAAAGCTCGCCCGTGACTGTATACTGGACCTAATTGCAGGCACTTTGTCTGCCTTGCTGCTACCTGTGTACACGATAAAGAACTCTATCATCGAGTACTTTGCGTTGCCTTCTAGTAAGTACCTATATTATTGTAATAATTTTAAAAAATTACGTTTTTGACCGATAAAACAGATTGGAGTAACAGATAACGTTATCTTTTCCCTGTAGTAAAACTGTGCCTTGATTGGATCAACATAAAACCTACGGTTTTGGAAGAAGTTGCTTTTACATCGAGATTACAGATCTGGCCCAGTCTTTGCGTACTTTTGAATGCCTTGCAGAATTGTGTGGTGGATTTTAAATATGATGAATGTAAGTAACTGGATTGCATTTAAGATTATCAGGCAGTTATTTGTAAAATAATTTATTCACATATTACATATTTTAATCAATAAAAATTAATTTAAAAATTAAGAAAATTATATGTAGAATATAATAATTTGTGTTAATAAATTTGCAATCTAAAGATTATATTTGTGAATATGTGAGATGTATATTAAAATATCGCAAAGTGAAATTTGATATATTTATAATATAATGCTATATGAAACAGATGTTGCAGTACCACTGCCAGAAGATCGTGACCTTCAAGGTTTTTTACCGTTAGAGAAGAGTTTCGAAAATCTCAGATTCACGAATACAGCGCTGGAGGGTGATGTCGCAACATTAAACAAGTTACGGGCGGTACGAATTCTGCATCTGGGCCATTGCTTCGCTCAGTATCAAATCAATGGATCGATGCCAATCTCGATTGCAACGGAGGAGAAGACGGGCGATAACAAATTCACATCTTTGAGCAACGGCGCCGGTCCCAGCAACGAGTTGATGAAAGAACTCGAGGAACTTAGCTTGAACAAGGATAAGCAGCTCGATACTTCGATGAGCCCGGTATTATCCGAAGCAGCTAGCAGCAAAAGCTCTGTGGAAACTGATATCGATATTCTTGCGGATAAGAAGATTTTTCAGGGTATTCTTAAGCCGCAAGGTTCCTTAGAACGAAACCGAGACTCCTTAGTGAGTACCACAGAGACGAGCAGCAGCGAGGCAAGTTCTCTTCCGTGCGCGAGAAAACCACGACAGAACATAGCAATGCAGGCGATCATGCGTCGTGCGGAGAACGAGAAGCAGGTGACGTTTAAGAACGTGTCACCTGTGATCGTCGAGGAAGAAAATGATAGAAAGGCGAAAGTAGTGACCGTTCCGCCGATTACTTCTGTTGCAAATAAACCGACACCAATCTCAGAGATGCCGAAAGCTAACGAAGCTGCCAATACAAATAACATCCTCGTTAACGTTCAGAACCGGCTGTCGGCGATGCCACTCGCTCCGGCCGCCGTTCAGAACCAATCCGCATCGATTCAGAGCCAGCAGAGATCCGCTAAGTTGCCGCCCAGCATTCCCATGCCCGCTCAAGTAAATCAATTGGCAGCCAAAGAGCAACAAACTCAGCAAGTTGCTCAGCAAATGCTCCCGCAAATGCACACTGGAATGACAGCGCAGTGCGGTCAACAGGCCTCGACATTGGGACCGGTTTGTTACCCGAATCAATCGTTCAACGTGCAGAATCCGCAATTCGCCAAGAATTTCATGACGAATCGACCGCTACCGGCAAACACGCCGCGTTATCAAATGCAAGGGCAGTTAAATAATAACAGCCAGCCGATTCCAGCGATGCCGCAGGGCATTAACGGAATACATCATACGATCAATCAGAGCAGACCGTTGCATCAGAGGATGCCGAACGTGTCTCACAGTCCCGGGCAGTTGCTGCAGCAGAACATGCGATTGGGATCACCTGCTCAGCAAAATATAATACCGCAAAGTATGAGTTTGCAAGCGAATAATATGGGACTGCAACCAGGTATGGGTATGGAGCAACAGAACCATTCGATGGGGCTGCAACAGCAGCAGAGCATAATACAGAGCAATCCCAGACCGAACGACATACACAGTCAGTTAAATGTGAACGGTTCGAGTATAGCAAACATGTCGGCGATGATATCGGCGTTGTCGGTGTATGAAAAGGATCCTCAGCAGCAGCCACTAACGACGCTGACAAATTCGCAGAGCCCGACCAACACGACGAATTTCCAACTGAACTTCAATCATTTCAATCAGAATCAAGCTTTCGGACAACCATTGTCGCAGAATCAACCGTCACCGTCGTTCTACAAGAAGAATTCTGACGCAATAGATTTCGCATTCCCGAATCAGGTCAACGTAGCTAAGAGTCAGCCGCAGCAACAGCAACAGCAACCTGCGCCTGCGAATAGTTACATGTTTTGCAATTACGAGCCGACTGAGCATTTTAACTTGTGGAAGGACAGTCGGCCACCTCAACCGCCGATTACCTGGTGGGGTTCTACCAGTAACACGGCGGTCCAGATGAACATGAAGGATTCGACCGTTAACGACAACACGTTCTCGAACTGGAGCGATTCAGCCACTGTCGGAAATACGGCGAGTAGAGTGCCGTTAACACCGGGCAAAAATTATCAGCCGCAACAACAAACCGAACATGGCAGACATCTTGTGGCAGGAAATAATTTTGAGGATTCCAGGTTGTTTGAGGTAAGTCGTTTAGAATGTAGATGTCTATACAGATATACAATAAAATTTGTGCAATATATAGAAAAAAAAACAAATAAACGAGAAATGTTTCTATAAGTAGACACACATCAGAAAAATTTTTTTCAACTAGCTTTGCACTCAAAAAATTTGTTTGTACTTGCAATATGTTAGTTAATAATTAAAAAAAATAGTTATATTAGATCGACACAAGCCTGCAAGTTTGCAAAGAAAGACTTCGCAACGAAGTTCGAAATCCATGACGTAGTCAAACTATTGAATTGTAATATTTTTTGTAACTTTATAAAAAAAAAAAAGTTTTTAGATTAGGTATTTTATCTTTCATTTACTTGATTCTTTTTTCAATATAGGTTGAATTATCTTTATAATCTCGATTAAAGATAAAGGCTATCTCTAACTTTTCATATTTAAATCAAGTATTATGTGTTATGCAATTAATAACGCCTTTCAAAATCATGATTATTTAACAATTTTAATTCAATACACGACAATTATAAGGTTTAATTAACGTCAAAGTTAGGTGATTCTTGCTTCGCATATAAAATTTACAAATTTTATAAACACTATCTTGAATAATTAGATAACAATGTTCTTATCTAGCTCGAACAGAAGCCGTCCCAAGCAGTGAGCACTGGCAACACTTACTCCTTGTTCAGCGGCAACACATGGAATACCGTTAATACATCAATCAATTCGGGCTCGACCAATCAAGATCAGGTGAAAGCACGGTTCCATCAGCAATCTCTGTGGTCCGGGCCGGGTCCTTCCCCGTTAGAGCGGCTTCTGGAGCAGCAGAAGTCGCTACGCGAGGGGGGTACCACTTGAAGGGACGCGCGGAGCATCCGCTGAGGAGGCCAAGCAGAGTGTAATTTCGCGTTCAGCGTATGCCGATTTAAGTAACCATAAGCGTGCGCGACGGCGAATAATTACCTAACTATTCGACAAGAGATATGCGAAATTCTCAAAAGATATGTAGAGAGGAAACGGATAACTGAGGTTGACCGAGGCGCAGCGTCTTCCTCGAGGCATTATGATATGCACAGGGGTAATATAATATTCGTTATTTTTCAATTGCACATGTGAGATCTGCGAGAGACACGAAATATACAATTTTCGGAGTGGATTTCTGGCAAATTAAACAAAGCAAAGCGAGAGACAAATGTTTGCCGAATGGCGATTCACAACTGCAATTTAATTCATATGGGAATAAATAGAAAAGGAACAAGAAAAAAAGGTATTAGAGGTGCGAGATGCGGTAGCTCTTAGCGAAACGTTAATTAGTACACAGGAAATAAAGGAAAAAATGTAGACACTAATCACAAGTGACGCGCGCTTGACTTTGTATCATTGATATATTTAGAAGACACACAATAAACACGTCTCGTTTATCGAAATTGATCGAGCGGCGCGCGTCGTCCTGTCTCGGCTTCACAACATCCCCGAATACCGAGACCGTATATTTGAAAATCAGACGGACGAACGACAATTATGTTTCAACACACTCGTTTTTATCGTAATAACTTTATTTCGTATATAGAAGTATCACACATTAATAACTTTTCTGTCCATAATATTATATGTAAGTTATATCACATACGTCGTGATTACGATACATACACATCACGAAGTTTTCTTTCGTTTCGTCGCGATAAAGTTCTTGAAATTCTCACGTCAAAACTTCTGATACTAATTTTACTGAAAAAATATATAGGAAGTGTTTCAGGCAAAAAATATGACAAGTAATACTTTTTTCTCCCTTCCTATTCTTTTTTAAACACAGAACTGCCTAACTGCGATTGTAACGAAATGTTAAACTAAAAACGTTTGATGAAAAATTGTCGCGTTATCTGTATCTGATTGCATCTGGTCTGCAATCCGCAATATAAAATCAGTCCTTTTTCAATCTCTTCTTTAGTTTATCAATTAGGCAGTACTGAGAGATGTAAGTGTACTAAAACGAGTCTAAAAACATACTCTTATTTCAATGAACACTTAAATTACTTAAATTACATCGACAGTTATAAAATCATAAGCATCGCCAGTAACATAATGAATAATTAAAATTTTGGTTTATGCTGAATTAAGAAATAAGCTTCAATTGTTTGTACAGGAATATCACACTTTACAGAAAAATCAATCGATCAAATAATCATCGTTCTTTTTTTGGGATAAGAATAAGAAATGATAAATTATATAGTTTCTTTTAATTATCCACTATGTCATCAGGAGCAGGCACTGGATTATTTTGCGCGTTGACTGCTCTGTAATCAACTCTACGTTTTATCGTTAGATTACAGTGAAAACAGTTTTTATTGTCAATCAGATGGCGCATATTATTCTCGCGTATGCGCAAACAGTCGTTTGAAAAATTTTGCCTCGGTATTCTGCATGATTTCACCTGTTTGAAAACACAAGTTGTCTTAATATGTCGTTATTATTACCTTGTTATGGGCAATAACATTCAACATTGAACACAGAATGCTGCTTTAAAAATGCCGTTGAAGAGATCTTCATAATTATTTATAAAAACGTGATTATAATCTAATTTTTAAATATTAAAGAAGTGAGCGATTTATTTATACAAATAATAATGGATATAATCTTACCGGGCCATTGTAAGTAGCATTAAATGTCCCAATTGCTTCAAATGTATATGTGAATTGTTTGGATACAGAGATGTGGTTCACAATTTGCAAGAAACCCATCAGATCACCCATCTGATTTATGGAAATATTCAAGAAAAACAGACCCATCTCTTTGATATGGAAAGCGAAATCGTAATCCCGATTCAAGATATACTCCAGAGTCCATTTCTTTTTTAATATATTATCTTTTGCGTTGAACTATAATTACAATTAACCATAAAAAAATTACAATGTTGAAAAATTTAATTATAATTCCAAACGCAAATTTGCAAATTTGAAAAAAATACGCGCTATACCTCATAAAATACATCTTTATGGTGATATCTTAAGTGGCCAATCATTCGTCCATGTGGTAGTTCCATTACACAAGTTCCAATACGACACGGATATAATCCTTTTCCTACTCTAGGTGCCAAATTCAGCATAAATTTTTGTTGCTCGTTTCTTGGGGTAATTGGCTTAGCTTGAGTCACGGGTTCAGTTTGACAGGCAGTGGAAGGCATGACAATATCTTCGGTTTGAGTAGCCACACAAATTTTATTATGTAGAGTTCTTCTATTGAGCGCATGATATGGATTCAGCAGGGATAACTAAGAAACAATACTTTTATTTAATATTACATTGTCCTAGTTACCCTTTTATCGTTTAAAGGAAAAATGAGAAGTAAAAATGAATAGATATCAAAATTAAGATAGTCTTGTATTAGCCTTGTATTGTTTTCATCTCTCATTATTATTATCTCTTATTATTATCGCTGTATTAACTGAAAATAAACACCATACCTTTATGTCCTGCAATTTGGCTGAGATTTGTTCCACTGCCAAATTTCTTGTTCCCATAAAGGGAGATTTACATATGGGACAGACCTGCAACTGTACTCTGCACGGATTACAAATGTGGTGGCCATTTACGCATTGGACTTTTACACCCTGTGTTGCTTCTAAGCACACGGGACATTGGAGCAATTCCTCCAGTGCATCGCACCACTGAAACAATCGGAATTATGGAATGATCATTCGGTACAATGATTAGACATATAATTATTAAACATGTGGCCAATGTTGCAAAAGTATAATTCGAAGTTAATATAAAAAATTCGAGGTTAACATAAATAACGTAATCGTAATAAAATTATCAGCAATCGGATAAAATCCGCTGATAACGTTAAGACGTAATTGACGTTACGGCGCAGACACAAGATCTGCAGAAGAAATCGTGCTAGAACATAAAAATATCGCGGCGTAGCGATACCATACCATAACTCGAATCTCCTCCATCGTGATTGAGCGTTTTTTTGAGCTCGATACACGAGCACAAGGCGACAGTATTTTGAAGACACAGGCGACCGGTGGGCGGTGACTGGTAGGACGTAGGACTGACAATACACTCGCTACAAAACACAAAACTAACATCTACCGCCTTTTCTGGAATTCCCCGGTTTTTTCGTCTCTCGCTCGCCACGTTGCCCAGGTTGCTCAGGTTTGCCACGAGTCCACACTCCATTGACAACAAAATTGCTAGACGGCTTTCATGAAAATGATCATCGCTTGGATAGCAATTAGCAACGGAATCTGATTCGTCAGCTTCAATAGGTACGTGCGCACTGATTACATTTCAGTGCACTGACGTCATCGTCCCGACAGAGCAGTATTTCGTAATCCGATCTTATATTTAACAATAAGATCGTCTTAGGCCGCAGGGGGAAGTGATCCGCGCAGTTCCTTGGGCCTAACCACGACTAACGCACCTACGGCATTACCGAGTTCAAGACACCGCGGACATACACGAACAATTATACATACACTCATACACTTACACAGTTTCGAGTTTAAAGTCTTACGAGATTACGAGTTTATATTACGCAGTTTAATTTTTGCTTGGGACGCTTTTATTGAGGCGTTCATGTTAATCTAGTCATAGTTCCTTTGTTTTGATGTGATACAACTAGTTTCGGTTTTGCTACTTTATGACCACATGGGCTACCCCCACGGTCTTTCCTTTATTTGAATAAAAAAAAAAATAATAATAAGATCGTAAATATTCCGCCTATAATGATGGCTATTATACCTTATGATTTTGGTAATTATTTACAAAAGCGACATCCTCCCCGATGACCTTGACCTTGACATATGTTGTCAAGGTCACCCTCCTGAGTGACCTTCAGAAGTTTTTAGCCGGCGGTCGTTATTCGTTAAAAAGTTATTAACAAAAAAAGTTTCGAAAATATAACAGCTATTTTGAGTATTGAGAGGCATAAAATAAACGACTAATATATTAGTTAAATACTGTTAAAGCGCGTCATCTAACCTATTGTAAGTATTCTCTACTTTAACAAAAAGACTTCAATTTATCAACAATTTATTGCTTTAAATGTTGTGTTTTGGTAAAGCAGCGACTTTCTCGCGAAATAAAGTATTCTCTGCTTTAAAAAAAAACGTGATTTAGTCGTTTATGCCTCTCAGTACTCAAAATAGCTGCTATATTTTCTCAGGAAGGTGACCTTGATAACATATGTCAAGGTCAAGGTCATCGGGGAGAATGTCCCTTTTGTAAATAATTACCATGATTTTTTTTAGACAAAACGCTACTGTAATGACTCTTGTTTATATTGCATTTAAAATGTTTATGCTCATATTCTATTTATTGTTATGTTTTACTGTGTGTAAATAAATTAAAATGCTATAACTCTGGGGATGCTGCGAAGTGGAATATTTACACCGACAAAGTATCTATTTTACGTATTTTTGAAATAGCTTTAATTTTACAAGATTGCAAATCCTTTTATATATATATATATATATATATATATATATATATATACACACACACACAATTAAATACCAACAATTAACTATAGAATACTATAAGGACGGAAAAAAAAGTTAAAAAAATTACGTTTGTTTTTGCACGTAAAGTGGTCATTCACGAAATGGCAACGCCAATTACCAACATTTTTAGTTCAATTTAGTGAATGCTTTCCTTTTCGAAGTTTTACCGTTGCTTAAAAATAATTAAAGTTAAATGAATAAGTATCGCAGTCGAGTAAGTTCCGCTTTGATAAGTATGAGGACACCATTGATGAACTTATCAAGAAAATAAAAAAGTGAGTGCTTTGGCCCAGTCATTCTGCTTTATTATGTCAAACTTTTCCTTGTGAAAATCGAGTAATAATATAAATCTATTTTATGTAGTCAGATGAAATTCACACACACAAAAACCGCGCTATCTGACGAGCTGGAAACGACAGAATAGCGCGTAAAGCGGGGAGCACACACTTCTGCACAACGCATAATGCGTAAGCATAAGAAAATTGATTGGTCCATACACATGTGCATAAGGAAATAGACCAATCAATTTTCTTATGCTTACGCATTATGCGTTGTGCAGAATTGTGTGCTCCCCGCTTAAACGGGGAGACGTAAGGGCCTTGGCACATAGAAAAACTTAAGCAGTAAAACTTAAGCAGTAAGAAATCAACGGTATGGATTCGCTACCGCTTAGGGCCGTGCCTTAAGTTCTTGACTGTGATTGGCTGATTTGCTTACTGCTTGAGTTTTACTGTTTAAGTTTTTCTATGTGCCACGGGCTTAAGGGGATGCTAAAGCCGTCCAAATTACCGACAATTACATTTCAAAGCTCTCATTTTGAAACGGCTTTATAGATCGCAAAATCCTTTTACAGGAGTAAAGTAGAGGTACTAATGAAGGGTGGGATTGTCAAATAATTAGTAATAATTGAAAAAAATTTTTAAATGTTGTCATCTCATAACCTTATTTTCTGATATAAATAGTTGTATACGTAATATGTACGAAATTAAAGTTTCCCACCCTTCAGAAGACGTGCACAAACAATAACGTACCTTTGAAATTGAGATTGAAAGCCTGGAATAAAAATGAGAGCTTTGAAACGATCGTGTATATTTTTCACAAAAATATTCACGCAGAGCAGCAATTATGTCACAGCAGTAGTTCACGGATCTTGCGAGAGATGGCGAGCAATTGAAAAAAGGACAGATGTCATTTCGTTAGACAAAGACAGATATAGGGAAAACAAAATTAGAAAGGTTGACATTATCGACATCGAGGAAGTTCGCCAGTCACTGTAGGATCCCCTTAAGTCCATGGCGTAAACCGTAAACTCGTCGCGCCACCGCCAATAACGGGCGACGCCAATTCCCCTCCTCCGATTGCTCCGACCAACGACGCGCCCGACGATCGAAATATACAATTTTTGGAATGGATTTCTGGCAAATTAAACAAAGCAAAGCGAGAAACAAATGTTTACCGAATGGCGATTCACAACTGGTATTTAATTCATATAGGATTAAATAGAAAAGGAACAAGAAAAAAAGCTTAGGTGCGAAATGCGGTAGCTTTTAGCGAAACGTTAATTAGTACACAGGAAATAAAGGAAAAAATGTAGACACTATAAATCACAAGTGACGCGCGCTTGACTTTGTATCATTAATAATTGATATATTTAGAAGGCACACAATAAACACGTCCCGTTTATCGAAATTGGTCGAGCGGCGCGCGTCGTCCTGTCTCGGCTTCACAACATCCCTGAATATCGAGACCGTAATACTTGGAAATCAGACGGACGAACGACAATTATGTTTCAACACACTCGATTTTAATGTAATAACTTTATTTCGTATATAGAAGTATCACACATTAATAACTTTTCTGTCTATAATATTATATGTAAGTTATATCACATACGTCGTGATTATGATACATACACATCACGAAGTTTTCTTTCGTTTCGTCGCGATAAAGTTCTTGAAATTCTCACGTCAAAACTTCTATTAATTTTACTGAAAAAATATATAGGAAGTGTTCCATGCAAAAAATATGGCAAGTGATACTTTTTTCTCCCTTCCTATTCTTTTTTAAACAGAACTGCGATTATAATTAAATGTTACACTAAAAACGTTCAATAAAAAATTGTCGTATTATCTGTAATCTGATTGCATCTGTGTCTGCAATCCGCAATATAAAATCAGTCCTTTTTCAATCTCTTCTTTATTTTATCAATTAGACAATACTGAGCGATGTAAGTCTACTAAAACGAGTCTAAAAACATATTCTTATTTCAATGAACACTTAAACTACTTAAATTACATCCGACAGTTATAAAATCATAGGCATCATCAGTAACATAATGAATAATTAAAATTTTGGTTTAGGCTGAATTAAGAAATAAAGCTTCAATTGTCTGTACAGGAATATCACAATTTACAGACAAATCAATCAATAAAATAATCATCGTTCTTTTTTGGCATAAGAATAAGAAATAATAAATTATATTGTTCTTTTAATTATCCACATAATCCACAAAATCCAGATAATCATCCACATTATCATCCA